CCCAGCCACTACATCCGGTTCCACCAGCTTGCGCCACATGCGAACGCTACCACCCAGGGCGTTACAATAGTACAGGAATACACCAACGATAGACCGTAGCAGTCACCAGAAGGTCCGAGAAGAGCCAGAAGTAGAAGAAGAACGAACCCTCGAGCGTACGAGAGTTGTAAATGAGCATAACACCTAAGAGCCTGCGTTTTGGATGAAGATTGCGTTCTGGAGAACGATTCGTTACCGAAACAGTTAACAAATGACTTTTGGCGTAGACACCGTACGATCTTGTACGAACACAAGTGCAATTCGCCAACGTACCGAGATAGTATTTAAGATATAAGGTTTTGCGATCAAGAGTGCACCGGCGGAGGATCGGGAAGATACCCGAGTATTCTGGCCAAGGATTGAACTTAAGTTTCAAGTTCTACTTTCAGTTGCGTCTATGTAGTAAGTGTATAATAGTCACTATTCCTGGTGACCATGGCAGCTTGAAATAAGAGTCACTAAGTCAGGTATACCATGGAGGCTTGAAGCTGGACCGAGACAAACATAGTTTTCCGTACGAGATAGCTTATGCTTGCCAGAAGAAACTGGCTCCGAATTGCAGGTACACCGCACGCAGGTGTGCTACATGTTGGTATGCCACACCCGAGGGCCCCGGGTTGTTGGTGTGCCGCATTGCGACGTGCCGCGTGCGAAGTATCGCGTAGTCATGTGCCGAAAGGTACGGTATAGAACCGAGTAGAGGCCAAGTGTCCTTATACCCCCAGGTTCTGAAGGAGTCCCAGCGTATTCCATCATAGTATACACCTGATTTATTAGCCAAGTGTTATAAATCCCAGATTCTGATGAAGTCCTAGTGAATTCCATCTGAATGTGCACACGATACCTGACCAAGTGTTCGGGAGTGAGCAATGGCATCCCAGCTTAACTACCACAGCCCGACCCGATTCAAGCCCACAAGCACTTTTCTTAACCATAACTATCTTCCGATTATCGGTTTGAGTCTCTTGGGAGGTATAAAAGCTGAAACTCATTCTCCATGGCATTGGACAACAATTTTAGTCAATTATAAAAATAAGTTTGAGAATTTTTGAGCTAAATATGATTTATTATGATTTTATCGAGTAAAATAGCTATAAATTCATTAAATATTGGTGGTTAACCTGAAAACAATAAAACTAACTCGATAAATCATAATTCAATGACTCGAGGCTTAGGTGAAAGTTTGAGAATTTTTGGAGTTCGGTTTGATAGGCGAACCGATTTTGTGAAATCAGACCGTTAATGCTCGTTTTTAATTTGTTGAGTTAGGGGCTGAATCTAGTTGTGCTAATTTGACCATAAATCACAAATATTTTGAGGATAATGTGGTTAAAATTTCACAAATTTTGGATTTCGTTTGATATAATTTAAAAATCGGGACTTTAGCCGATAAAATGCGATATAGAAATTAATCCAGTTGTGGATTTTAGCTGCAGTTGTTGATTATAAAATTGATATAAATCACATAGAAATTACTGATTTGAGTATCGACTTTAAA